CATTACCATTTACCACAAATCAGTTGGGCAAACTAGACTTTTGGAATCAAAATATGGAGGCATCAATAATTTGATTCTGGTGGGAGGAGCCATGACCAAATATGGGCATGGAATCAATTTTTTGATTCATTTTGGTACACTTTTGACTTCAAATGTATCGTTACGGTTGAAAAAAGGCCCATGACGGTGAGATTTTTATTTAAAAAGGTAGAAAAATGTGGTAGGTTTGCAAAAAGTGTTACCTCAAAACTAAGAAATTGTCCCTTTGACCTTGTGAATGGGAAAAAGACAGAGCCACTGTCCATCACGTAAAAGCTGTTTTGAGGAAATCACACTGTATGTTATTTTTGTATCATGAATGGCATACTAAACAATCAGTATTTGTGTAAAATGGCAAAATGAAATTTTCAAACCCCTAATTATCATTGTTGTAGTGCTTTTATATTTATTATATGGTTTTTACCTGCTGCTTCAGTTTTTGTATTCTTGACATTTAAAAATTGTGAATTGTTATCAAATGTAGTGAAGGTAAAGTACAACAATGCTATAGGTATCTGTTGTGGTGCTGAGGATACCACTAAATGAGAATAATAGAAAGATAAATGATGTATTCCTGCAAGTTATTGTTGCCTATCTGTTAACATTACCTGTGAATCAAAATAATGATTAGCCAGCTGATGGGGAATCAATATTATGATTATCTGTTTAAAGTGAATCAATTCCTTGATTGCCTTTCACTACCTATAGAATTCAAATTGTTATGATAGGAGCAATATTATTTTGCTTAGGAGATAGTTCCAGCATTTCTGTTCAAGATCAGGCATGCTCCTTCTTGAAACACTCTCTTATTTTTATGTGATTGGTAAGTTAGAAATGGTCTGCATTTATGCCCAAATATGGTCATAAGGAATCAATCTTTTGATGCCTCCATATTTTGATTCCAAAGGTCTAGTTTGCCCAACTGAAATATAAACTATACAATCATCAATGGATCATTTTCATCAATATGCAAAGCTCAAGTGGAAATGAAACAAAATTATCTTTAAAGGGACCCTCCCACCTTCAAAAAAGTTAATGAATTGGCATGAAAGTGATGTCGCTCGGTTCAGAAAGAGCAAAAACGAATATCTACCAAATTTCATCGAAAAATATTCACCGGTTTTCAAGATATTAGACTTTTACTTTTGTTTACTTTTTGGGATCTCCGCTGTTCCTAGCGACTTTATTTGAAAGTGCGGCATTTGTTGCGCGCAAAGCAGCATATACCACCGCGTGCTACAAAACGTTTTAGTCAAACATTTAACGGACGTTCGAAAGCCTGATGACGTCATCAGATTCCCGTAATGGTTAAGAGATAGGGACCACGCTGGTCCCACCCTGCAAGTAAAGGGAAGAAATTTCTTGAACACCATAAAGCTGCGGGGGTTGCGACCAGGATAAATGGTGGTTTCTGAGCCTGGCCGCAAACTTGGCTATCTCAACTCAAAACTAATGTTAAGGTGGGAGGGTCCCTTTAATTCAAATTACTCACGTGGTCCTGGTCAGGCATCGTCGCTGCTTCAACTTGTTTCACAAACCACCATCAAACATAACAATCAAACTGTATGCGTTAAAAAAGATGCTTAGCGAAAACGAAACAAAAAACGAAAGGCTGTTGGTACTTATTCTCCAGCAGTGACAGCAGGCAGAATCCGCTGGTCCCAAGTCCGCGGACTTTTCCCCACTCCGATAAAAAGCCAATAAATGCCGATAACCGCGCAGACGAGGTGACAAACAAATCACGATTAGCCGATGATAAGAGCAATCAGAGTTACTATTTCCTGCCGCTAGGAGCGCTAAATAACATGTTTTTATGAGATTTTACAAGTATTTGTTTGCAATTCTCACCAAATAATTTGTTTCTATTGAAAAAGATGACTTCAATCAATTTAGTTCCATCAAATTTAAATATAAAGTCTGTAAAACCGTTTGAATCTATGCTACACAAAAGTTATTTTACTTCTTGATATCCTTAGCTAAACCCAGCCAGTGACACCAACATTTTAGACAAATATCACGCAAATAGGACAAAGTATCTCTGTTCGTTGACTTACGCTTATGAAAGTACAGAGGTCAAATGATGACTGAAGGCGAATCATTGGCGAGTGCATGGGTTCATTTTCCCGCAAACTGGTAAGAAAGAACACAATATTCATAGCATTCTCCATCCACATCTGCACAGCTCCTTCAAGGTTCGGCGCCTTGCTTGCTCCTCGGGCTCCTCCTCGGGTAATTCAATTTCAGCCAGAATTCAGCAGGATTGGGTAGATGTGTGACAGGGACTTGTGTTTGTTATCTTGGATAATATGTTTGACTCATAGTACAGTTGATGGAATATATATTGAGCTATAAGAAGAGAAATTGGAAAGGTTTTTCAAGGTCAATAAGAGTTAAATGACATTTTCTTCACTATAAATTGATTTTCTTTCAGATTTGCTCCTAAGCATTTGTCATGTTTTTAACGCACACAGTCAGGAGACTGGTAAATGCTCCTGCCAGTCATCGACTATGCTTGGTAAGCTGCATTTTAATTATTTTCATACAAATGATCAGAGCAAAAGTATTAATCTCAATAAAGGCACATTTTGCATGTTGATACTTTTTTGCATTCCTGCCTTTCACATTTTCTAATAATTACAATGCTTAGCAAGTCATAGTATCACATAGTACATTACATACATGCTTTGTGAATTATTTTTAACTTCAAATCTATTCATCTTGCAGCTCACATAGCTCAAGCTGCCTCCAGCCTACATTACAGGCTACACCTGTCCTATGTGTCTGCTCTCCTATGCCTAATATGTCTGTGTATCTGCCGGCTAGGCGCGGCGGCTGCTGCACGTCCGCCACGAGCCACCGCCTCCGGCAGAGGCGCTGCCAGCTGTGGAGCCGGTGGATGTTGACTGGAGCCACGTAGAGCGGCTGCTGCCGCGCCGAACGGTTCCCACGCCCACCGACAAAGCGGCCTACCCGTCCGGCTGGACACCTCAGCGAGGTGAGGTCACGGCCGCCGACCGGCAGAGGTCACCGGTCACAAGGAATGGAACGGAAAACAACCGCCCAGAACTCAGTTCAGCTTAGGAATGTCGTGTGCCATGTAGTGTACGTAGCTTATCAGCTCTAGTCTTTGCAGCGACGTAAGCAGTTACGCTGCTTACGTTGCGTTGGGCTCGTTTTATTCGTTAAAATGTGTAGTATGTACCGATTGGGCTGGCACATCGCCTTTCTTTCACGGCTCACGTCACAAACACGCCACTCCCATTATTGTTTGTTTCCGTATTTTTTGCCGCACACCTGCTTCCCGCCGCTGTACTCTTAAACTGGCACCGCTAACACTCTTCACTAGCTCTTACCCGTCCCCAGCCTACCTTTCCATCGCCACATGCCCGACATGCCGTCTCAGCCACCCGGTCTTAGGTCGTGGCCGCCGATCTCCCTACTAACGAGCTGACCCCACCCCCTCCCCCCACCGACAGGTAACCCGTCACTTCCATACTCGGTCCGCCGATCAGTGAACCACATGTTGCCAGTCTACCTGCGCATCATGGAGGATGGCGTCAAACGGCTCACTGTGGTGCGCAACGTCCGTGGAGATATCTGGGTACGAAGGGAAATGTATCTGGACGCGTAAAAAGATACCTTTATTCTGAGTACAGAGGGAAATGTATCTGGGTGCATAGGGAGATATATTCTGGGCACGGAGTGAAATGTATCTGGGTGAATAGAAAGATGTCTGGGCACGAAGGGAGGTCTGGGTGCATCGAGCTATTTGGATACGGAGGCAGCCATCTCGGAACGGAGGGAAAGATCTGGGAACGGTGGGCCGTGGGAGGGAAGATAACTGCCTTGAAGAGAGACATCAGGGTTCCGGGAAAATGAAAGGGTACGAAGGGAGATATGAAACGGTACGGAAGTGTTACTGCAGGAGGCATTCTGGTAGGTACAGCCCACCTCTAAAGTAATGTGCGGTTTTATCAATTTCAACAGATGGCTTCGACTGACGATTTCTAAATACGGAGTGATCCAGGAGTAGACAGCATAAGATAAACTTGCAGCTGAAAGGATGACGAAACATGTAAGCTTCATTCCAAGTTTCATTGTAGTCGGGCAAATTGTTCCTAAGAGACAGATACAAAGCATAACCACGACTGATACCGCTTATTACTTCTGCGGTGGACTGTACGTGCGAGAGATGACAGCTACGCCAGAGGGTATCTATTTATGGTAGGGTTGTGCTGGTCGTGATGTATTGATGACCCAAACTCAAACGAAGTGTTGTGGTGGAGATATGCGATCCTTCCTCTGGCCAGATGACCTAATGACCTCCCTTCCCCAACTCTCGTCTCTTCAGAAGTTGTTTGGTGTTTTAATAAGGTGCTTTCCCTCCTCAGAAGTTGCACGACGAGCTGAAGCGACACCTGGAGGAGGCCAACAGCCGCTACATCGCCTCGCGTGTCAACGAGGTCTCCCTCTACGTCCAGTTCAAGGGGGAGTACGTGCAGCAGGTCAAGGACTGGCTGAGAGAGCGAGGACTGTGAATGACGAGAGATAAAACCCCATCCAGAGACTGAGGGAGACGGAGTGAGAAAAGTGCCGGTGTCTTCAGTCAGGTTTCGTGTGTGAAAAGGGTGAATGAGCATTGTGAGCCATGCCTGGTTTCGCTTTTTTTTTAAGCGCCGCCAAAAGATACGAATTGTCACCGACGTGTTTAGGGGAGCCTTGTGAAGAATATGCTTTGTGGAAGCTGATGTCCATCTACATTCACTAACTGGTACTGTTTGAGTTCGCATCATAGGTGGTATGTCGTGAGCAAAGCGTCCAATAAATGTATGCGTGTATATGAACATGTAAATTTCGTACGGATACATTTGCAGACTAAATCCCCTTATCCATGACTATCCACTGATTATATTCTGACACTCATCCGCCGCCACCCGATCCACAAAATCCACTCCACTGCGTACCATTAGAGAGCGCGTATATTCATTCACCCTGCATACGAGCCTGCTACACACTCTTGTTAAACACACTGTTATGTACACAATATAGCGTGGCGGGATGGCATCATCCCTAGTCTAAAACCCGGGGCAGTCCCGCGCCTGTGTGCGCGCACATAGTCCCAGGTCACCCTTCTGAGCGGGACTGGCCTATAGATTCCATCTGAACCGACGAAGCGACGGCTGAGGTTCGGGCAGGGCGCGGCGGGCGCCTACATTGCACGTGGGGGAGGGGCGGTGGCCGGTTAGCGGACGGCCGGCGGGGGAGGAAGCGGGGGCGGCTAGTGGTCGAGGATGCGCAGGTTGCCCGAGATGACTTTGTTCTCGAGCCGCGCGCCGTCCGGGATGTCGATCCGGTCCCCGTGGTTGGCCACGATAATCACCGCGCCCTGCGAGAAGGGGAAGGGCAAACGGCGGTCAGAGAGCAGCAACGAGTAGCCGGCAGCAACGGTCCCAACCAACACCTACCCACCCAAGTCCGGTAGGCAACTGTCAGCCAAAATAATTCCTATACTCATGCCGATCTCGTTGTGTTGGCCAAATTCAGTGCTAACAGAATGAGCTAAGAATACAGCATATTACACGACTAAGTAGTTCATGCAATGAATATGAATACAATGCCATCATCTCAGCTTTACTAACAACTATAGAGTGGAAACAAAACTAGCCTATCTTTCCGTTTTCAAACCCATGATTTCGGTTACTCAGTTGACCAGGAAGCTGTGTGCACCCAACAAGCTGAGGATTCATTGTATAACCGACGGAGTACTGACCCGCAGAGCGATTCCCCGTCCGAAGGTGACGTCTCCGGATACTGTCAGGTGATCCAGCTCCATGATGTCAGGGATCGAGGCGAACCGCTTCAGAAACTCGGCCACCTGATAAACAGGAGCACAGAACGACGCGTGTAACAGCGACGCAAGACAGTTTACACACAGTCATTGCTCACAGCACACGCGACATTAGTGTTATAGTTGTTACGTCATTGGCCAGAAGCATGCAATGATAGGTACATGATTATGACAGTTGCAGTGTTAAGACACACCACATGATGCTTATATGATGACAGTGATGACAGTGACAGTGACAAAGTTATGACATGATACTAAAAGACATACATCACACACTACCACGGTTACGAACATCGCTTATTCCTAGCATCCCACAACAGAAATAATCAGCCCACGTCCCCCATCCCTGTCCGCTCCCTGACCTTGGCGAAGTGGTTAGGCCCGAGTTTGACGAGCGGCGTGGTGGTGAATTGTCTCAGCGGCGACATGACCAAGGTGCCCTCCTGCAGCGTGTAGAGGTTCGACATGACCAGCAGCAGGTCGTCCGTCTTCTTCACCGGCAGGAAGCGCCGCCGGGGCACGTTGATGCCTGCAGGACGAACGGGGTGTAAATATGAGGCCGGGCGGGAAAAACGTAACGCACCGTCAAAGCGACACAAGACCCATCCCGTCACCAATGTGCATACGCCGACCCAGAATGCGATTCCGTTAGCTTCCTATTGTAGCATAATCCCTACCCTATACCTAAACCAAAGCTAAGTCAACCGCATCTTCCATAATACCCACCACACGCAAGAACAATCCTCCTCATGTAACCCTTTGACTCCCTTTCGTCTCCTTGCTCGTAGCGCTCCCTCGCGCGTTCACTTGCGACACCCTCCCGTCCCCCTACCTGTGGCCCCGTTGAAGCATTTCATGGCGGCACCGACGGCCGTCTCCAGCTGAATGACGTTGGTGCCGTTCGGCAGCGTCTTGGGGTTGACGATGATCTCCATGGTCAGCAGCTCCTGCTCCAACACCCGCTTCATCGCTGCCGGAGGGGGACGGCAGGTTAGACGTCAGGATAGCCAGGAGCGCTACTCACATCGGCACTCAGCCTTTTACGGGCAGTGAGGGATTGAGAAACATTGTTGATAAGAATGAAGCTTGAGGTACTAGAAATAAGTCTAAGAATGAAGCTTGAGTTAATGAAAGTACGTCTTGAAATAAGTATTATAAGTATCCTAGCGTATGTACAAATTTAGACAGCACTGTGTCCTGCTTGTAATCGGCCATGACACTCTTTGGTCTGACATTTCAAAGAAAGCCGAGCCGCCGACACCGAGCCCGGCCGTGGCCCAGACATTAAAAGGCTAAAGCCGTGACCCCCGGGCCCACGTGTCGATCATACTGGATTCGGAGCCGCAGCCTGGCCCAGAGGCACTCGTGTTACGTTACTATCAGGGCACAGGTGTCTTCTATCCGGGGCGAAGCGTGGTTGACGTATCGGTGATTCAGCCGTCGGAAAGGCAAGAGAGTAGACGCTCCTTTGTGATATCAGGCAATTCTCCGTATGATGTTGCAGCAATATTCTTACTGATTGATCTTATCTTTGCATGATTCGGCGGTTTATTTTTATCGTAGATAAAGTACATCCTCGTGACGAAGCTTCTTTGATTATAGCCGGATTTATACCACTTGTAAAAGTGGGTGTGTTGAAAGTCTCTCACTTGGGATACCTTATCAATAAGACGACCGCTTACTCTTATGACTGAGCGCAAACATGACCGATAACCTTTCCGCAAAAATAAGAACGGAATCAGTGGAGTAAACCGCAACGAACCAGGGTTTACCTTTGAGGTTAATCCACAAATTGTTGGTGTTGAATATCCGGAACTTTTTGACCGACTTGAACTCATCGACATGTTCCTTGGGGACCTGTGCGATCTCGAGCAGTCGTACCTTCTTCATGTACTCGCAGAGCGTTCCTCCCTGGGGACGGGAGAAAAGATGTTAGTTAGGAAAAGATGGCATGACTTATCTAGATGTCATACAAGCGGAGAAAGAAAGACGGTTACGGGGCAGCCTTGGGTACAAACTATCACTGATAAACACATAATCGCACAACACATAGTTGCACACTCATCAGTTTTCATGTGTGCTAAATCTCTGATGAAAATATACAGTCAATTTCTTATCGAAATCGGCGCAGCAAACGCTTGATATATTTTTAGAATCACCATAACGAAGTCACAAACGACCATGCGACTTCCACGAGCCAAGCATTACTGCTGACGGAGAGAAAGGTAATGGGAAGAGCATCCGTACCTTGATATCGGCCCGCGTCTTGTCGGTAACCTCCATGAGGAACTCACAGTGCAGCTCCCCGGAGGGCGGGTTCAGCAGGGAGTTGAGGATCGACCGGTCCACGGTGGCGCCCAGATTATCTGTGAGCGATACACGCACACGGAGTTCGTCAGTGACCGGTCGGGCGGAGAGTGACGGGGCGGCTCACGTCTGCATGGACATTGATCAGCTGCTGGGACTGTGTGCTGCGACAATCGCGACAACGCAACTCTCATGCGTGTAACGGCTTCTTATGCGACTCTCTCACACAACTTCCTATGTATAGCTTATCATGTTTATATCCATTATCCACAATCATTCCCATGCCCTGGTACATCTATATGCTTGGCAGAAGACGAACAGGCCGAGAGAGGACTTTCACAGAACCCACATGGAGGAAATTCATAGCTTTGTGGAGTTTAAAGCTAATGTGTTAAGCCATCAGTCCGGAGCGAGTCGTACCTATGTTGGATATGAAGACATACTCTCGTCCCTCGTCGATGAACTGTTTGAGCAGGCCGGAGTTCTGGAACGACTGGTAAAAGTCGCCGTGACCGGGCGGGTACCACCTGAGGGGAGGAGAGAAAGAGCGTGGTCAGGGTAAACCAGGCTCAGCGGATTGCGGAAGGGTCGACTACTAGCAGGTCCTTCGACTATACCCGCAGTCCGCACTGCTGATGAAATATCTGCCACTTGCACTGACACATCGTCACTGACATTGACACTGATACACCGAGACTGACACGCAGGCACAAATAGATGACATAGACACTGGCAGACACTGACAACGCAAACACTGACAGACGACACACCAATATTGAAACTCCCCCATCATCATCGTTACTAATACTGACATGCGACACCGACTATGACACCCTCATCGACACTGACACACTGACACGTCCAGCTGCAACACCCTCCCACCCACGCCCACTCCACCTCCCTCTGACCCGCCCGCCCAACTCACGCCTCCGGATCGTCGTTGGTGTTCATGGTCTTGGCCACGGGTGTGAGCGTCTCCCGGTTGATCCGCGGGTACTGGCTCTGGTTGAACGTGTATATCTTCACGTTGAAGCCGGTGTACTTCCGCAGCACCTTCTGCGTGTCCTCGTCCGTGTTGAAGGAGTTCATCAACACCAGGGGCACCTTGCAGTTGTAGGTGTTGTTCAGGTGCTGTCCGATAGCGAAACGGGAGAGAACAGGTCAGTGCTCGGGCTTATCACACGGGTCAAGACTCAAGGGTCAATCTCAAAGAGCAGGCAGTGCTGAAGCTAGACTGTCACAAGAGCAGTTTCCAGAGAGTAGACAGCCCAGTGATTCCGTATAAAAGCCTGTCTGGAGACGGGTGGTAGCAACCAGTCCCGGCCTCAGCTCACTTATCCAGACCCCATTCACTTCGCAAATACCCAACCCCCTCACTTCACCCTCACCTCACTTATCCCTCACCCCTGCTCACCTCAATCTGCTGAATGGTCAGGTCGAGGAACGTTAAATCGTTCCGCACCGCGATCAGCGACTTGGGTCCCTGACATCCCATGGACGTGCCCAGGCCACCGTTCAGCTTTACCACCACCAGTTTATTGAGCTGGTCTTTGATCTGGTCCGCTGACGGCTCCGTCAGACTGTCGTACGATCGAATGGTGCCGTCGGTGATGGGCAGGATGTTGTCCCACACCATCTGGGGTCCCTTCTCGAGGATAAACCGAGAAAACAGCCGCTGGAAGCCGTCCATCTGCGACCGGTAGTCCTGGGGGCGGGTAGTGGTGGTCAAATTATGAGTACTGGGATCGGTAGTCCTGGGGGCGGGCAGTGGTGGTCAAATTGTGGGTAATGGGACTGGTAGTCTTGGGGGCGGAGAGTAGTGGTGATTAAATAGTGGGTACTGGGATCGGTAATCCTGGGGGCGGGTAGAGATGGCCAAATTGCAGGTGTTGGGATCGATGCTTGTTAGAGCCAAATCGTAATCAGTTGTGAGAACTGGAATAGATTATCATGGGAGCACATAGCAATGATCAATGGTAAGTACTGCAACCAGCGCTCCTGGGAGCAGATACTAATAGTCAATACGGGAGTTTTCGTGAGCAAGCGGATGGTAATGGCCAATGGTCAATGGTACGAGCATGACCTTCGGCTCTGGTGTTTGGTGGACGGGGTGCCGGCAGGGGCGTTTATCCTTTAAGCCGTTGGTCTTATCGTGCCTAAAGGTGATCTGAATGGCTAGGTCAGGTGGCTGGTTTCATCAGTCCCGGGGCTGGATTACATCAACAAACAGTGTTCACGGCAGATCACACACCGGACACCTAAAGGGGCCCGCTATAACGATAGGGAGTTACCGTTCTAACAGGGGTTCATCAAACAGACTCAATGGGAGAGGTCGTAAGAAGGACAAACGTTACATTGAAGCACCCGTGACCCCTCCAAGAACCCCACATCCTTCAGATAATCTGACGACATTGCTTGGTACATCATTTTTATCACTCCGGTATATCTGATTCGAGTGTGAGTGCCGTGTGTATTTGTGACGTGGGCACGACCACCGAGAGTAGCCACTTGAGGATGGAGAGGCCGGTCATCCCAATCCATGAAAGTCCTAAGACTCAGATTAGTCACCAATTCTCACATCATCCAATACCAATCACAACGTCCACCACCGCCCCTCCGAACGTCTAATTCTAGAACGCCTACCAGTTTATAAATTCAAATATCTTCCCTTCTAGACACCGGTAGTCGGTAAATCAGTCTCTGTCTAGTGTGCCTTCTTCCACACCGCCCCAGCTACCATCACGCCGAAGATGTAACTACCCACCCCCGCGTTCTCCCTCGCAGCACTCACCTCCCTCAAGCCCTCGGGAACTGTCATCATGAGCTTATCCAGCTCTGTGCCCATCCGGATCTGGGCATCGCGCTTGGTGAGCTCCTTGAAGGCGGTGGCGCCCGAGCCGGAGCCCGTCCGGCGGTGGCCGAAAACCTGAACAGAGAGAGGTGTCAGTACAGGAACACAGAAAAGAGTATAGCACAGGGGTCACGACAGGAAGGTAGACGGTCCGACCAGGGTAAGGGAGCTACCTACTAAAGGGACCATAGAGACCACAAAGTATTTATAACACAGCGTGATACTGTATCTGGTGCCAGAGTGCACCGGGGATGAACACGTAGCCCCACATTTGGCAAAAAAAAAACTGAATACTATACAGTCACAGCCAAACCAACTCGACATGTGCCCATTATTACCGGAGAGGATCTCGGCACAGGTGTAGAAACGCGTTCTCACTAACGCAGGCGGAATTGCGGGAAAAACATCCCCATCAGCAAACTGGCGCGCAGTGTAACACACCACGCCGGACATTGCGTGTTACACAATGCACAGTGTTGTGAATTGTGACGTGGCTGAACAAACGTCAGAAGTAGAGGTGTGACAAACTGCTGATAATCCATCGGTTCTAAGCCAGTACCGGCAGATCTGATAGTACTACATACATCGTGCAGCACAGTTCAGTAACAAATATCGGAATACTGCCGGTAGTTGCAGGAAACTGGCCGATGAGGAACATTTTGTCATTATCGGAATAGCTACGTATTGCCACTGCGTGAAAATTGAGGCAATAAGTCATTATCGGCATTTCATTATACCGGTCAGCGCAAGTTGCACCATTAATCAGCATCCTGCTGAGCCAATGTGGGTACATATATAAATTATGAATACAAGCCACGATTGGCTTATGTCATAACATGTCTACGGTATTTTGGCATCGCTTCGCATTCATCAAAGCCACGATGCCCATTGGCCTATATTTCAAACTACAACAGGCAATGTCGCATCGCACAAATACTATCATACAGAAGTTGAGCCCCACGTTCCAGATTCGCTCAGATCCCGGTCCCCAGTCACTGTCGGCTTCTCCCCTACCGTCAGCAGCAGATCCCAGTGAGACGGGTCCCACGTGGAGCTGATACACTGCGCTGCAGGCTGCCGTTACATGCAGCCGGGGAGGGGAGGTGGCTAAAAACCCAGCAGGCCGCTGTCGACAGGTGCAGAGAGCTACACGGGCAACACGGGAGCGGCACAGCTGGCCGAAACTCCTCCCCTCGACGGCTGTCAGACACAGCCCCCCCCCCTTCTATCCCTCACAGAAGCAGCTGTAACAATGGCTATACTACTGGATGATTGTGACACCCAGGCCAGGTGAGGTCAGATCGGGCCGAGCTGTTCTCAGTGCCGCTCGTTCAACCCAATCACGCAGTGAGTCGCCGTTCAGGATCATAGTTCCGTATGCTAATAGAGTTTGCACAGCCAGCAGCACATACCAGGCCAGTACCATCAAACAATGTCTGCCGGCCCGGCGACTGCGCGTGGCCAGTCACCAGCGTCTCCAGGCAGGATAGCCGCCCGCTCGTCCGACCCGTGGCCTTGATGACCAGGCCAGGTCCGCGTGGCACGGGAGGCGCCTGTCGTACGACCAGAGGCGTCGATTGATGGACTGACACCGTGTCCAGACGAGAGCGACCCAGGCCAGGCGCACGCCGCACAAATATACAGGCGGGACGAGCGCTGCCGGCGAGCCGCATGGACTCCGGACCACCAACCGCCCCACATGGCACACTGACCGAGGTCAGTTGCTGGTCTGACAGAATATTGTCTCCAACCGACAGACAGTAGATTCTTAACCGTATGAACCAACCCGACCAATAGGCAGCCCAATCATACGGTCTTTTAGACAGTCCAGCAAGCATTTCAGGCAGGTAGGCACAGTTTTCTATCTCACTGACAGCCTATAGGCTCGGTTCCACCGAGCACCAGTGACATCCTACCGTCACTAATCGTCATCATTCACCAATCGCTCCCGACAGGGACATGGTCCTATCCAGGGTCGGCCGCTGACCCGCACCGCTCCAGCCACCGGATGGACGGCCCGGGAGTTTAATCTAGCATACCAATCGCCGGTCCTGACGCTGCCGCCGGCCACATGACCGTCGAGAGTGGGCGCACCGCCGTCCGCGTACTACGCAGTGCGTGCGCGCAGCCGGTCAGCCACCGTCGCTACTCAAGGTCCAACGGGGGCATAGCAGTGGCCGGTCAATCACCGCCACTAATCACGGATCAGCTGAGGTCACAGACGGTGTCGGGATGCGACGGGCGCTAAGCGAAGCAATTAGCGCGAGGTTTCGGGGGATGATCACTTAAAGAGGGAAAGACGAAGAAAAATAATGCGATATTTTATTAGCTCATCTTTGAAGTAGATTTGTATGTTCAACCATAAAAGTTATGAGGACCAAAAATCACAAGGGCGGTCTAGACATCAAAAGCACGAACGAATGTTGGACTAAGCCGAACTTTGGTCTTTAGAATTGTGGGGTCACGCTGTTGTAAGAAGCGCTGAACACCATCGGGGAGCAGCCTGCAGTTGCACACGTGTGACTCGCGAAACGCATGAGTGTCCACTGTCCCTTGTCACTCACTCTGCCAAAGGAGGAATAGTGAAGGTAAGCAGACCCCAAAAGCGACCCCCGACGCCGGCTAGCATCACACCTGATCAGAAGCTACAACAAAAGCTGGAAGTTTGACGAACAACATGAGGAGCCACCCAAGCCGACGTCCATGCTTGGAAACTCACCTGATAGGAACTGGCATGGAGTCCCGCGTCGATGCTCACGGTACACTGTGAGTTAGTATCCTCGCCGAGACGGGAGTTAATATCGTCGGTGAATCGAGAGTTAGCAGCTTTCTTAGGCGGTGAGTTAGTGGCGGAGATGCGTTGGGAGTTGACAGCCATGGAGAACCCGGAGTTAGTATTGTCGGCGAGTGGCAAGTGAGTGCCCTCGGTAGGTTGCAAGTTAGTAACCTCCGTGATTTGGGAGTTAGTATTTTCGGCGGGTTGGGAGATATCGCCATCAGCGATTGACGAGTTAGCACCCTCGAGTGGCGAGTTATCACTCTCAGCGTCTGTCGTCCCTATGCCGGCCCGGTTACTCACAGAGTGTGCCGGCATGGTGAACACGCGAACAGACGGCGCTAATGGCACAGCTCCGGAGACACCTCCACACACCTCGACAGCGCACGCGACTGTGGCCCGCCGCCGCCCCGTCGCGTCGGCCGCGTGGTATCTACATGCTAGTGGTGCAAACCTCGAGCCCACGGAGCCCGCGTAAGGTTCAATTCGGAACGATCCTCCTTCCGAATTCTCGGCGCTCATCACTTGCGGGAAAACCTTTTTTCGTGAGAATCCTAAAGGATGTACGACAAAAAATGTTGACCGCAATCAATACAACAAATACGTCGGTGTTGACTGAAAATACCTAAGGATGAGGACTTGCGGAGGTGACTGACGAATTCCATGTTGAATGTATCGAATATGTACAGACTGACATTAACCCAAAGTTTTATCGCAAAGTCGAACCTTGTAGGTTCCCTTTACCACCGAGGAAAAAAGGATCAAACAAAACGGCATGAGTAGACGAATTACGATAGAATCGAACAGCTGTCCCAAACCTGCTGACAATGCTCGACAAAACCCAAGTGTTTTCTTTCAATACATGTCACAGGTGTACTCAAAGCCTCAGCCGTTTGAATGTCTTTTCGCCAGTAACACCTTTTACCCTATTGTTTTTGGCGCTTGTAACGTGTGCGGGATATCGCTGGAAAGGACACGGCTGACTTCAACCAGCTGACCCAGGTGCGACAGATTGTCATCGTAAACCAGCAGACGTCAGAAGTGGAACTTCAGCTAAGAGCCATTGGAGGCGAGTCATAAGTCAGACTCCAGTCGTCAGCCAACAGTCAAGCAGCAATCAGCCGACAGCTACCGTCCGCCAGCCACCAGCCACCAGCAAATAACCGTCATCCACCAGCTGTCCATCAGAGTCCGTCATCCGTCAACCGTCAGAAATCATCCGTCATCTGCCATCCATGGGACCGATCACCGACAGAGGGCCTCCGAGGTGCATTTGTCTGTTTGTCTATGGCGGAGCTGTCCAGAGTCCGGCAATGGTGGCGGGTCGCGCGAGAGTGGCACACCAGAGACGTGCCACCAGCGAGGTCGGTATTGGCAGACCAGAGCCCTCCACCCAGCGAGGTTGGAAGATCGGTAGTATTGGAAGACTGTCAGATCAGGACCGTGAGACCATGACCGCCAGAAGAGGACTGTAAAGCGAGGACCACCAGACCAAGATAGTTTAAACACGACCCAGGTCAGCACTCTGGACCATCAGCTTACCGCCACACCAGAACCGGCCAGCCAGGACCGTCAGATCAACAGAACCGGCACACAAGGGATGGACGAACACCGGACACCAGGCAAAGCTCAGCTCGCTCCATGAACAGGTGAGAACGCTCAACTATCCCGCAGAAAATGACTGGAAACGTAAGAAAATTGTGTAGACACGCATGTGCGTGCCGCTTGCAGTCAATTCCATGTGTCTGTGGCATATTTAAAGGTAGTGTGCCACCTTTGAAAGATTTCCCATTTTATTTTTCCTAGGATAAGAAGCTTCTGTTTTTACCTAATATCGCAAAAAAAAATCAAAAATGGGCCTGGAATAGTGCCTTTTTCGCCTAAAAGTTTTTCGGTTTTTAGATATGTATAACAACTGTAGTGGGCTCACCTGCAAACAGGCGTCGGGCAACAATCGCGAATGCGGCGCACTTGTGACAATAAGCAAAGGTCATTATAGTGTTACGACCATACGACGTACGGGAATGAGTTATCAGCTGTCTAATCGTAGACAACACAATGTCGAGCCTTAAACTGTAAGCCCGTATTGGTATTGTTTCTTTTATTGGGCTGTCGAACATTATTTATGGTTTGAAATATGATTTTATGTAAAATAATTGATATGAAAAAGCCGTCTTATAAGTTATGACCCCATTTCACCACACGCAAGTGGCAGAAATGACAATGATCAGCTGACGCATTTTTCTTGGCCGAAGTCAGAGCGCGCGGCCCGACGCACCACGCGTATTTGGAAATTCCGACCTCGACGAGCATCAGAAGCCACCTAACAGGCGTGTTCGAAACCGCAGGAGATGATGATGAACGGGTTTATCGAAACTTGATTGGATGAGCATATCGGTAATAGCGATTTCAGTGTGTGCATTTATTGTTCATAGTGGTGTGAAATGTGGTTGGGGTACGACCGACAACCCGTCGGGGCGAATTTCGCACTGGGGTACTCAAAATTTGAAGAATTTAAGACGTTTCCATGAGTTTTGAAGGTATGGATAAGTTCTAAAAATCCGGTTCTCCTTATCTGTGCCATTAACTCCATACGGTCCAAGAAAGCTGGCACACTACCTTTAACCACATCGCCTGGGTACTAGTTAGACCGAACTGACGCGCATTCAGTGCTCAACGCTTTTCTCAGACCATCAAATGACCGGACTCGCACAGACCCTCGCGGATTTGCAACCCCAGTGGCGCGGGAACCGGGGGGGCTAGGGGGGCTGAGCCCCCCAGCTTTTCGGCTGGGGGGGCTCGTAATGTATTTGAGCCCCCCCAGCTGGAGGAATCGAAATCGGAAATCTACCAACATAATTTCATAGATTCATACATAGGCGTGGGAACCGGGGGAGGGGGCAGTGGGGGAAGCTTGCCCCCACAACTCTGCGGCCGTGGGGGCGGTGCCCCACAACGTTTCATGAGGCCAGGAACCGTCGGGCAGCTTGTCCTCCCCAAATTAGGGGTTGTGGGTCACAAAGGAACAAAGCATGTAAGTGAAAAATCCACCTATTTCACTGGCTCGGCAACTCATTTGACAGATTAAAACCTTTACTCCAGGTTGCCAAAACGGTAGTTTCTTCACTCAGCTGAGACGGAATACCTCACTTTTTGAAAATATTTTCGTTTTTTTTTTTTTTGTTGTTGAAAAGGCCAAGGTCTGAAAAATAAGTGGCCTAAAACCGGTGAGAAAACTAGATTCGGGGGTACCCTAGGTTGATTTCTACTATGGTTCAGCCCCCCCCCCCCCCCCCCAAGTCTGGAAGAAGTTCCCGCGCCACTGTGCAACCCTACCTTACCGTAATGTGTAGGACTCGTCGTGGGTGAGGAGCTCTTCGAGGCAAGCTGAGAGGACGCTGAGAGGTTTGTGCAGCAAATCGATTACCCCGGGGTAGGTGGCATGCCAAGGTAGATTCAGCTGATCATCAGACGAGATAGAGACAGTCGGTCAAAAGTTGTTCTGTGAGCACTGAGCACAGTCACCAGTAGCGACATCTACAAGGTAGTGAACAAATTGCAATTGGCAGTTCACCACTGGCCACCAGGTGGCTAGACGATACGGCAAGAGTTCTCAAATCTACCCAGTGCAGTGCTGCTTTGTCCATTCCGGCTGTAGTGGAACGAGTTGTCCAGTGCTCACTGCTCAGGGTCCCCATCTCATAAATGCCGAGAGTGGGATTTGGCATCATTGCCTGAAGTTCAACAACGGAAAAGGGAGTTTTAATGCAAAATGGCTTTGGCGTTTTTTCAGTCCATCGCAATTCGACATTCCCAGGAATATGTAATATGTATATGACTGCTATAAAAAAAATGATGCACAGGAAAACACAGCAGCGTATATGCATATGCCAAGATATCACAGGAGTCTTCCATCATTATGTGGCGCAAGTTAAGCGCTCTTCTATGGAACTTGAAAGTTGAACGCGTAGTTCCGACGATTCCAAGGTCTAGGGATCGCCTGATGTGGATTACTCGTAGACCCATCTTATGGTTACCCGACACCCGTCTTATCCATTCGTCTATTCATCCATTCATATTGTCTTTCAAAGTGTTGACAGAATTAGTTGATCTCCCCATTCAGAACGCCCAAGCTCAGACATTACATCGGGCACCGACTGCTACATTGGTCTTTGCCAGACAGCCTTCTCATCGATCAGCCTTTGGCATATAGCCTCATCGACTGAACTCGGGCAGAACTTGGCACAAACTCTACGGGGATATATTTAAAGAAATCGCTGTCAAAAATAGATAAAGAAATAAAAAACGTGGATTTCGTGTGAAGCGTTTAGAGCTGGCGACGATATCTTAGCCAGGCCTAACGGAAGATTCAACATGCAGCAATCACGCGATCTGCAGCCACCACTCGCTGTTTATAATTTATATCACGCCACCGCGCTGGCACGTCGGCTGGTCACTCATGGTACATTGCAGTTCAGATGCAATGCAATGTACCATTGCATTGCATTGGTACATTTACAATGGCCACCCTGAGTGGTCAGTCTGATCACGCGCTGCCCCTCTCCCCCCCCCCTCCCCCGTTCATGGGGGCCGGTTGGCCGGCGGCCTGGGCGGGGCACTCGGCGCCAACCGAACCGGCCACCGGTCAATGCCATCCGACGGGGAAAGGGAGGGGAGGGGACGGCCAACTACGCAATAGGGGGTGAGACGCAGTCCGTCGACCAGGGCCCTGTTTCACCGGTGATAGCAGCATGCTGCTATCACGTTTCGCGAGCTGACGTCATGTCGTGACGCCATACTGTTGACGTGATGGGCAGTTCCGGCGCACGATTGCAGCGACCTTGGCCGCGGCATTAAGTGACGTATGAGCCTCTAAAAGTAAGAGTTTACGCAGTCTTGGTAGTATTATTGTTTTTAATATAATTTTTTTTAATATGATGTATTTAAAAGAAGTTGGGTTTGAGGAAAATTTGGATGTAAACTTCGAACATTTAGTTGATGACGTAAAACAATATTGCGGCAATCGTGCGCCAGAATTGCCCCTTACGTCAGCAGTATGACGTCATCACATTACGTCAGCTCGCGCAATTTGATAGTAACGTGCTGCTATCACCGGTGAAACAGGGCCCAGACTACCGTCGGCGGAATACGGACCATGACATTGACCTTTGACCTGACATCGGGACCGTTGTGATAACATGATACCCTGATGTCGTTTCACGGTGATATAATTGGTGACCGTGATACTGTCGAGGCATCGTGGCACCAGAACTGAGGCCAACGTGACCTGTCATCTGAGGTTTCTGACACATGTCATCTTATGTCACCGTGGCCTGCCACTGGCTTGGGCTTACCGTGGCCCGTCACCTAACGCTGTGAGCCTGACACCTGATGTTTAACGTGACCTGACACCTATCCCTTGGCATTGTGACCTGTCACCTGACCCGAGGTCACCGCTATCTGAAAACTGACGGGTGTTAACGGCGCCGGACGCAAGCGGGCTGTCACATCTCAATCCTGCTCAAGCGACTAAAAAAATGAGCGTTGGAAATCGGCTCATGGTTTTCAGACTCAAACGAGACTAAATATTTATCTTATGACCTCGAGTAACCAAGACAACGTCATGCACTTGTTACATAACACTTTTACCGTACCAGAAAAGGACGGACAGCGAGAAACGGGCTGTAATTGAAGCATTAGTCCTTGATCTCCTTTACACAGGACAGGTGACATTTGACCAAAATTTGCACATTGTGACAAAATCATATAGCAAATGGCTTGGAATGCCTGAAGCTGAGTCCATAATCACCTGATGTTTTATCCCCCAAAAAGCACATGCTTTAGTCCTAAAGGAAGTTCATACCAATGCCAACTTCTAGCAAGTACCATGTTTATGTCATGGATGTTTCAGAGACATGTCATTCCTGAGCATGGCATAGATCAACATGGCAAAAGTCAACTTATCAACCTTGGTGAATTGACTTTCCCCATAGCAATAGTGTCAAGAAATAGGTAATTGGGATGCAAGATTGAGATGTGACATCATTCATGCACAAGATACAGCAGAATTATCTACAGCCTAAGTGTCATCTAAGAAATGCAGCTACTCACTTATAAAAAATGTGTTTTTAAATCATTAAATGTTTTATTTACCTTTGCTTCCCCTTCAGATCCCATGACTTCTTGTGATATTGGCTGATTTGACTGTTTCCTGAAAAGAAGATAAAAAATACTGTATCAGCTCAGCTATTCAACAGTTTTTTCAATTCTTTGATAATCCATGATTGCAAGACATGTACAATAATTATGCATTATGCAGGTGAACAGAAACTTGACAATTGTCAAAATAATAATTGCATTATAGCATATTAAGAACAGCATCAGCAGGTTATAAGTGGACTGGTTTGTTCCAGTTCAATAGGTTTCAGCTATCACAATCATCATTAAAAATCTACAGATTTGTTTTTTTCCCAAGCAAACCATGAAACTATACCTAGTGATGGATATCATGTTTACCATGGTAATGCTATTTGATGAAGGCACATGAGCAATTAGGTACCTATCAATAACGCAGTGTTGTCATCACATTAAATGGCAATTAAGCATGATCAATCATGTGACAAGTTGAATTTATCATTACTAGGCATGCAGAAGCCTAGGCAAGTAAGGTAATTAAAAGATCGAGGATGCCTCACATCAGTAGGCGGAACTATGGTCAAGCGTACCCATTTTCGGGAACGCATTTTCGTTCCCATGTTTGGGAACGATAAACCCAAATATGGGAACGCCATGTAGGCATTATTTAAAACAAGAAAAAGAACTGTTAAATGACGTCCAAAAAATATAAAACGATCGTGAACCGCCTGATAGTTGTCTCAATATTGTTGGGAAAGAGTTTGATATTGTAAGGCCCATCGTAGTTTCAAATCGTTCCCCTATTTCTAAAGCAGTCCATCACCCGGGCCGCGAGCCCAAATTTGGGAACGCTGTCGTACACTGGCGCTGCAAGCGTTCCTTATTATGGGAACGGCGTACCCAAAATTGGGAACGATTTCACCGACGCCTTTCAGGGGCTCTTTTCATTAACAAGCATCACGTCCAACGCCGCAAATTATTGTTAACGCAACAATCATCAGATGACCTTTCCGGCAAGACCGTTGCATGTTTCGCCCGGTCTTCTGCGCTTTTATTCCCGTCGATCTCGCAGCGGGCACGCCCCCCTCTGCAGGATTACGTAATCCACAACGCTCAGCGATGTTCAACAAGGTCTTCCATACCTATATCCACCGTCCGCGCCGAGGGTGGAGACATGTCAAGCACCTGTCTGCTAATCACCGAGAGTTGACGAGCACAAGAAGTATCCAAAAATGGGAACGCTGAATATGTTACACCCTCAAAACACCTAGTCCCAATGAAAATCTAGTTTTTTCCTTTCTTAATGAGTGTAAGTGGCAAAAGGCCTGGTAGGATGGGCACGACGTATGATCGAAATCAGCATAAAAATTATAAATAAGCCACACAGAGCGACCTATATCAGAGAAATTCCCCCAACCGATCATGCTTAGAAACGCCGAAGACAAAAACCACGCTCATGACACTGCTTATAAAACAACGCTAAACAGCTAGCATCCAAATAAAATATGTCTTTCAGGGCTGATAAAATACAGCTGAATGATTTTAAACCACTGAAACTGAGTTTACAACAGTAGTTCGGTAAAATCACTGACGTTCCACGCGGTCGATCGCCCCGACACCAAATGTCAACAATATTACCTCGGGACTGTCCGCGTGTTCGCTTGCATATGTCATCATCTGGTGTCGCTAGAATGAAACTTCATAACCAGGCGAAAATTATTATACTTGACCTCAAAATGTAAAAAATGCTTCATTTTCCTTAAACTTGCATGTTAAATGTCGTATAACCCATATTTCCACCATTCTGTCATTTTTAAAAAATCATTAAAAATATCATTCCACGGTCAATTTCCTTGTTCCACGGTCAGATTAAAGATAACTTTATGGAGATTTAGTAGATACTTAAATCAGCGTGCACTTTTTTGAGACGTGATGCACTTTTGAGTTTTAGTGGGCGAACGGCCGAAAAATTGCCTTCCGTTCTCATAAATGGGAACGCCCGTTCCCATATTTGGGAACTCCGTTCCCAAAAATGGGAACGTTCCTATATTTGGGTACTCATGACCATAGTTCCGCCTACTGACATGCCGAGCTATACCCATGACTCAAGGCTGTATCAGTATGGATATACCTCACCCACCAGCCATAGGTATGAAGATCAACACAATTCAAAGTTGTAGGATTATTATCACAAATTGCTGGGAAAGAAAGACATTTCTAAAGCTATTATTTAATGCCATAAAAACATTAAAACACTATCTTGAATTTTTTGTAGGATGGAACTAATTACTAAATTAAGATCAAGATGAAACCATTTGATTGAGACTGAACCTTTCAACTTTAACTTATCCTTTGGCTCGATAGGTCGAGAAATTCTGAGCTTACCTGATCAATCACACAACCCGAACCTGAACCAGCGGGACTCTCGGTGACCCTCCGGCCCGCCCCCACCAGTGACCTCCACCCGCGACCTTCACTCAAGGCCCTAAAACATAAGGTTGGACATGTGCGTGAAGTTGGCGTCGGATTCGGATTCGTATTCAGCGTCGAGTACCGAATCACTTGAAAACGTCATATCTGGTCAATTCGGGGACGGGGAGCACGAATATGACATTAATTTTGCCCTAGCAGGTATCCCTTATCCCTTAATCGTCCCTTAAACGACGGGGCGCGCCAAAAGTGCCTCAGGGGTTCTTCCGATCGCGAAAAGAATGGTCCCAGGCGATTCCCCGGGTCGATATCTAGCCGCACCACCACTAACTTCACACGTGCCTCATATCCCTTATCCCTTAATCGTCCCTTAAATGACGGGGCGCGCCAAAAGTGCCTCAGGGGTTCTTCCGATCGCGAAAATAATGGTCCCAGGCGATTCCCCGGGTCGATATCTAGCCGCACCACCACTAACTTCACACGTGCCTCATATCCCTTATCCCTTAATCGTCCCTTAAATGACGGGGCGCGCCAAAAGTGCCTCAGGGGTTCTTCCGATCGCGAAAAGAATGGTCCCAGGCGATTCCCCGGGTCGATATCTAGCCGCACCATCACTAACTTCACACGTGCCTCATATCCCTTATCCCTTAATCGTCCCTTAAATGACGGGGCGCGCCAAAAGTGCCTCAAGGGTTCTTCCGATCGCGAAAAGAATGGTCCCAGGCGATTCCCCGGGTCGATATCTAGCCGCACCACCACTAACTTCACACGTGCCTCATATCCCTTATCCCTTAATCGTCCCTTAAGGGACGATTAAGGGCAATCGGGGCGCGCCAAAAGTGCCTCAGGGGTTCTTCCGATCGCGAAAAGAATGGTCCCAGGCGATTCCCCGGGTCGATATCTAGCCGCACCACCACTAACTTCACACGTGCCTCATATCCCTTATCCCTTAATCGTCCCTTAAATGACGGGGCGCGCCAAAAGTGCCTCAAGGGTTCTTCCGATCGCGAAAAGAATGGTCCCAGGCGATTCCCCGGGTCGATATCTAGCCGCACCACCACTAACTTCACACGTGCCTCATATCCCTTATCCCTTAATCGTCCCTTAAGGGACGATTAAGGGCAATCGGGGCGCGCCAAAAGTGCCTCAGGGGTTCTTCCGATCGCGAAAAGAATGGTCCCAGGCGATTCCCCGGGTCGATATCTAGCCGCACCACCACTAACTTCACACGTGCCTCATATCCCTTATCCCTTAATCGTCCCTTAAATGACGGGGCGCGCCAAAAGTGCCTCAGGGGCTCTTCCGATCGCGAAAATAATGGTCCCAGGCGATTCCCCGGGTCGATATCTAGCCGCACCACCACTAACTTCACACGTGCCTCATATCCCTTATCCCTTAATCGTCCCTTAAATGACGGGGCGCGCCAAAAGTGCCTCAGGGGCTCTTCCGATCGCGAAAATAATGGTCCCAGGCGATTCCCCGGGTCGATATCTTGCCGCACCACCACTAACTTCACACGTGCCTCATATCCCTTATCCCTTAATCGTCCCTTAAATGACGGGGCGCGCCAAAAGTGCCTCAGGGGTTCTTCCGATCGCGAAAAGAATGGTCCCAGGCGATTCCCCGGGTCGATATCTAGCCGCACCACCACTAACTTCACACGTGCCTCATATCCCTTATCCCTTAATCGTCCCTTAAATGACGGGGCGCGCCAAAAGTGCCTCAGGGGTTCTTCCGATCGCGAAAAGAATGGTCCCAGGCGATTCCCCGGGTCGATATCTAGCCGCACCACCACTAACTTCACACGTGCCTCATATCCCTTATCCCTTAATCGTCCCTTAAATGACGGGGCGCGCCAAAAGTGCCTCAGGGGTTCTTCCGATCGCGAAAAGAATGGTCCCAGGCGATTCCCCGGGTCGATATCTAGCCGCACCACCACTAACTTCACACGTGCCTCATATCCCTTATCCCTTAATCGTCCCTTAAATGACGGGGCGCGCCAAAAGTGCCTCAGGGGCTCTTCCGATCGCGAAAATAATGGTCCCAGGCGATTCCCCGGGTCGATATCTAGCCGCACCACCACTAACTTCACACGTGCCTCATATCCCTTATCCCTTAATCGTCCCTTAAATGACGGGGCGCGCCAAAAGTGCCTCAGGGGCTCTTCCGATCGCGAAAATAATGGTCCCAGGCGATTCCCCGGGTCGATATCTTGCCGCACCACCACTAACTTCACACGTGCCTCATATCCCTTATCCCTTAATCGTCCCTTAAATGACGGGGCGCGCCAAAAGTGCCTCAGGGGTTCTTCCGATCGCGAAAATAATGGTCCCAGGCGATTCCCCGGGTCGATATCTAGCCGCACCACCACTAACTTCACACGTGCCTCATATCCCTTATCCCTTAATCGTCCCTTAAATGACGGGGCGCGCCAAAAGTGCCTCAGGGGTTCTTCCGATCGCGAAAATAATGGTCCCAGGCGATTCCCCGGGTCGATATCTAGCCGCACCACCACTAACTTCACACGTGCCTCATATCCCTTATCCCTTAATCGTCCCTTAAATGACGGGGCGCGCCAAAAGTGCCTCAGGGGTTCTTCCGATCGCGAAAAGAATGGTCCCAGGCGATTCCCCGGGTCGATATCTAGCCGCACCACCACTAACTTCACACGTGCCTCATATCCCTTATCCCTTAATCGTCCCTTAAATGACGGGGCGCGCCAAAAGTGCCTCAGGGGCTCTTCCGATCGCGAAAATAATGGTCCCAGGCGATTCCCCGGGTCGATATCTAGCCGCACCACCACTAACTTCACACGTGCCTCATATCCCTTATCCCTTAATCGTCCCTTAAATGACGGGGCGCGCCAAAAGTGCCTCAGGGGCTCTTCCGATCGCGAAAATAATGGTCCCAGGCGATTCCCCGGGTCGATATCTTGCCGCACCACCACTAACTTCACACGTGCCTCATATCCCTTATCCCTTAAAGGAAACAGTCCACTTTCCTGAAATCAGTATTTTGCTATTGATTTATGCTTTTTTATGCTCAAAATAATCATGAAATAAAATAAAACCTTTTTGTAAAAACAATTATTTTCTATATTTTAATATAGGACGAACTATATTCTATGTAAAATAATGTTTGACGCGGAAGCTTATTACGCATTGACCAATCATATTGCGTAGCTCAAACCTACGCATACTGCATTGGCTGTAAGCAGCACGCTGATTGGCTGACGATGACGTGGCTGCATTCCTGTGCAAGGCACGCATTCCTCTACAAGGCACTCTTTTCGGAACGAGAAATGGAATATCTTCGTCTAGGGTGATCGTTGAGCCGTAAAAGCTCCTGATTTGTGCTAGTCTCAGCTCAAGCTACGAAACTGCTATTCCAGCTCAAAACCCCATGTTAAAAGTGAACTATTTCCTTTAATCGTCCCTTAAATGACGGGGCGCGCCAAAAGTGCCTCAGGGGTTCTTCCGATCGCGAAAATAATGGTCCCAGGCGATTCCCCGGGTCGATATCTAGCCGCACCACCACTAACTTCACACGTGCCTCATATCCCTTATCCCTTAATCGTCCCTTAAATGACGGGGCGCGCCAAAAGTGCCTCAGGGGCTCTTCCGATCGCGAAAATAATGGTCCCAGGCGATTCCCCGGGTCGATATCTAGCCGCACCACCACTAACTTCACACGTGCCTCATATCCCTTATCCCTTAATCGTCCCTTAAATGACGGGGCGCGCCAAAAGTGCCTCAGGGGCTCTTCCGATCGCGAAAATAATGGTCCCAGGCGATTCCCCGGGTCGATATCTAGCCGCACCACCACTAACTTCACACGTGCCTCATATCCCTTATCCCTTAATCGTCCCTTAAATGACGGGGCGCGCCAAAAGTGCCTCAGGGGCTCTTCCGATCGCGAAAATAATGGTCCCAGGCGATTCCCCGGGTCGATATCTTGCCGCACCACCACTAACTTCACACGTGCCTCATATCCCTTATCCCTTAATCGTCCCTTAAATGACGGGGCGCGCCAAAAGTGCCTCAGGGGTTCTTCCGATCGCGAAAATAATGGTCCCAGGCGATTCCCCGGGTCGATATCTAGCCGCACCACCACTAACTTCACACGTGCCTCATATCCCTTATCCCTTAATCGTCCCTTAAATGACGGGGCGCGCCAAAAGTGCCTCAGGGGTTCTTCCGATCGCGAAAAGAATGGTCCCAGGCGATTCCCCGGGTCGATATCTAGCCGCACCACCACTAACTTCACACGTGCCTCATATCCCTTATCCCTTAATCGTCCCTTAAATGACGGGGCGCGCCAAAAGTGCCTCAGGGGTTCTTCCGATCGCGAAAAGAATGGTCCCAGGCGATTCCCCGGGTCGATATCTAGCCGCACCACCACTAACTTCACACGTGCCTCATATCCCTTATCCCTTAATCGTCCCTTAAATGACGGGGCGCGCCAAAAGTGCCTCAGGGGCTCTTCCGATCGCGAAAATAATGGTCCCAGGCGATTCCCCGGGTCGATATCTAGCCGCACCACCACTAACTTCACACGTGCCTCATATCCCTTATCCCTTAATCGTCCCTTAAATGACGGGGCGCGCCAAAAGTGCCTCAGGGGCTCTTCCGATCGCGAAAATAATGGTCCCAGGCGATTCCCCGGGTCGATATCTTGCCGCACCACCACTAACTTCACACGTGCCTCATATCCCTTATCCCTTAATCGTCCCTTAAATGACGGGGCGCGCCAAAAGTGCCTCAGGGGTTCTTCCGATCGCGAAAAGAATGGTCCCAGGCGATTCCCCGGGTCGATATCTAGCCGCACCACCACTAACTTCACACGTGCCTCATATCCCTTATCCCTTAATCGTCCCTTAAATGACGGGGCGCGCCAAAAGTGCCTCAGGGGTTCTTCCGATCGCGAAAAGAATGGTCCCAGGCGATTCCCCGGGTCG